ACAGATTCGGCTCAGTTACAATTTTATTATATGTATAGATATCAAATATAATGTACCTCAGTATAAATAATATTTACAATTTATTCACACTACTTATATTAATAAAAAACTAAAGCTACATTTCTGTAAACTGTACAATAATTTTATTTTTATGTGATAAATTAAATTGTAAGCAATATGTCTTGAACATATCATTTTATGGAGGTTTATACCAGATTTGAACTTATAAGCGTCGAGTGAAGTTAAATTTTAGAAGATTTATGTACATCGTTATTAGCTAGCGCTAATTATAGAAAAAAAATCAAGCTTTTTGATTGGGCTCTCAATTCTCATTAATTACTATAACTATAATTCATACGAAAGTATGTAGTTGTGTGTATGTTTGTTATGCTTTCACGCAAGCAGCTATGCATATGAAGTATACAGTTAAAACTATAACTTAGAGTATACATAGCCTGTACGAGTATATTATATCATTAATACAAATATATAATAGGGATGCACTTGAGCTGAGCAAAGGTACCTACTGAATTACATTCAGTCAATTTTAACGGCTCACTGCTGCTGGTCCTCCGCTAGACAAGTGCTTTCACATGTCACTCGAGTGTTTTGTTAGGTTCTCCCAGAGATGCAGGTTTCATTAATATGAGATTTCTTTACCGTGAAAATCATGTTGAAAATTATTCTTATATAAAAATATAGAGATGGGAGACTCAAGACTTGAACCCGCTTCGCTTAGTTTCCCAAGCAAGCGCGTTACCACTGGGCAAGAGGACTATCGAGACGTCCGTAACATACCTTAAAAATACAAACAGACGAACACAGAATCTCCTCCTTTTTAGAAGTCGGTTAAAAAGTAAGAAATCTAGAATATTACTCATCACATAAGAACTCTATTAAAGCATTAAATATAAAATAAAGTATTATACACTATACAATTAGCAATTTCTATAAGATCTCAGCCTATTATAGGATTTCTATAAATTTTTTGTGTGTGTGTGTAATTCTTCTTCTCCTAAACGACTCGACCGATTTTGATGAGTTTATTTATTTGTCCAGTCTACCTAGCTTACTTAAGAAACTTTTTTTTTTAATTTGCACCTTTAAACGAGTGATAAAAGTGATAATTATATTTTTTCATTTCTTAAAATTTATTTAGTGATGAAAACTGTGCGACAGATGTGTTAACTTTTTTTATATATATTATAATCTCTATTAAATATGGCGAATTAGACTCTACATTGCAAAAATTAAATCAAAATTGAATTATCAATCGATTTAACTGTGAGGTTCAGTTATTATATTAATTAATTAAATTTAAGCATTAACTAATTAAGGTAGTGGTATCCCAGGGGTAACGCGCTCACTTGGGAAACCGAGAGAAGCGGGTTCAAACCTCGAAAGTCACACGTCTTATATTTTCAGGTATCAATCATTTCAAACATGATTACGATTTGTCTTACGGAGAAGGAAAACATCAACAACAGGAGTAAGTAAACCTGCATGTCTGAGAGAACCTAACAAGTTTCCGAAAGACGTGTGAAGCCAGCCAAGCCGCACTTGGATGGTGGATTAAGGCCTGATCCCCATCACATTCAAAGGAAGCCTGTACCCAACAGTGAGACGTTAAAAAGGACTGAAGATTAAAACTAATCAACATGTTCTAGTTAAATAAATAATGAAAATGTATAAATGGGATGTTTTAACAGATGCGTTGTAAACTTGACTGCACCTAAAAGGAAACAACAATTACGTTTGATATCAGCTCTTATTTATGATACGTTAAAGATTGAAATAGAATAGTTGCTCAATATGACGTAATATTCTAATTAGAGCTCCTTTTAGAGCTACTAGTAAAAAAACAGAGTCGAAAGGAAATTTTTATTTCATTTAATAATTCTAATATCAAATTTTTGAATGTTGACATAAATCTTATATGATTAAATGTAGAGATGTCTCATACAACTTTTAAAATGGGTTTGACTTATTAGAATAATTAATTTTAGTTAGATTATTCTATGAATAAAACAAGTCAAATTATTATTACAAAAGATATTCTAATAATTAATAACTTGACCTAATTCATTAAATGTAGAGTCTATAGATATATCAAATATCAACATAAAAAAGAAAACAAAATTAATTCACTCATTTATAGCGAAGTAGATAAAACAAAACGTCTCTACCTAAAAATGTACAGGCATTTCACTTCATGTCTTCACGTTTTCGTGCGTCAATCGCATAAACCAATGAGAATCGTTGGTCTGAATCACGCTATTAAAGTTTCTTTACATCGGCCGTATAAATACTTGCTCTTGGTAGAGTACGTCGGGGAGTCCCATGCTACTCGGGAGGCCGGTCGTGGCGGGGGGCCGGCTTAAACCTCCGCCATCTGAATATGTCGCTTATCTTTAAGTCGTCATGTATGGATTCAATAATGAAATGGTTATAAAAAATAAACAATTCTTTAAAATGAAAAATTGAGAGCTCTTCTCACAGACACCGTAGTAGCTGCTTTGACTTCCTTTTATGGCATAATTAAGTTTTTCGTAATATGTTTTTAGAATTTACTAATTAGATTTAAAGTTATATTCTAATAAGATATTTAATTTTATTTATTAAGTCTTTTTTATTTATTTAATTTTATTATTAAAAATTTAACTATCACTTCTTTCAATACGACTTAAAAACTCTTCGGGGCTGGCAATAGGTTTGCGCCTGATTAAAAACAATCAATAATCTTATATTATAAATTACAATTTCAAGATATTACAAAGATATGAAAATTTTGACTTTTTTTGTTATATATTTATTTAATTTAAAACTATTTTTTTTCTAGAGTTATTGCAATCCAATCTAATAAATAATGAAACTGCATACTCTACATATCTGAATACTATTTGTAAAAAGTTTTAATTTAAGTTATAAATTATATCTATGTAAGCCAAGAATTTATTATTTTCAATATAACTTAACACGGGAAATTGTAAAGTAGTTAATAATTTAACCAACATATTGTAACTAATAAAAAATGTTAAATAACAGTGACTCTACCATGTCACTAATATTTTTTTAATGATTATTGTTATTAAAACTAATTACCTAAACATATAATAACTTAACAAAAAAGCATCAAAAATAATTGCCTTTGCAAAGTTTTATCAAAATTGTTTCAGCTCTCGTTTTAAACAGCAAAAGAAGGTCAAATCAGCTACTAAAGTGTGGATGAGACTGTCGCCTCTCTTTATCATTTTCTTGACATATTTGACATTAGTTTACCATATATGATTGCTTTAGCTTCAACATATCTGTTGGCAGGGAAGTAGGCCGGCTCCCTGCCATCACCGGTCCACTCAGTAGCTACGGACCCTCCAGTTGATTCCACCAAATGTCACCTTATATACTCATTCCAACTGGAAATTTCGATAGCGCGATGTAGAACTCAAATTTATAAGACGTTTTTCTCATATATATCCACCTGAAATCTTATATCTGATTGACTTTTATGGTGTTTATAAAATAAAAGTAATCATTTATATCTCTACATATTTAATTTTTTGTTTTATTTTCTATTTATATTATGTTTTCTGTTTCCATCAGTTTGATATGGGAGTTTTCGTGAGTAGAAAAGAGATAGTATTATGCACCTCTCGTTTGTTTCGGCTTAAATCTATTTATGGCTCTACATTGGCTCTACGTTCAATCATTGATTTTTCGAAAAGGATAGAATATACGCAATTATATATTAGTTTTCAACGTTTAGTCTATTTTTAACTGAACTGTTTTTTGTATTTGATAGTAGTTACCTTAATTTTAATTACAATAATGAAAATTAATTTATATAAATAATTAATGTATTTTTTTATAATTTACGATAATGCCTCTTTATGTCATCAACTGTTGTCAGATTTTAACAGATGTAAATACTATCATATTTCATGTTTAAAGTTGTTAGATTTTTGGAATAATTCCCAAATCAATAAGTTTAATTTTTTTTTAATGTTTTCAAAACCATGTAATAATCTTTTTTTTACAAAATACATAATATATTTTAATAATTCTATATTTTTATTTACTAAATACATTTCCCTTATGTATGCAAAATAATAGATTTAAAATCACGGTAGCTCTTCCGTGTTTAAAATCATTTTATTTTAGGCAATAAAAATTAGGAAATGTTGCAATGTTACAGCTGTTATATATCAATATTTATTAATTTAATGTATCGATTTAAATTAAAGTAATAAATATATATTTATTTACTTTCAGATCATAATTTTAAAATAAAGTCAATATTAATTATGAACTCGAGTATGAATTCCTATTAAAATTATATATTTTTTATATGGTAACTCAGGATGTTGTTATGATTATGGTTATCTTTGCCTGCGAAAATTTAGAGAACTTGAAAAGAAACGTGAAACTAAAATGGCGAAATCTGAAATGTATTACGTGGTTGCATTACAGTAAAAATCTATATCACAGTGGTGTTTAAAACATTTATCTCCAGTGTTGTTAGTTCCTTTTATATTGGATCGATTGTTGCCATCAAAGTAAGTTACTGATTGTTGCAATAATCATAAAATTGTAAATGTATAGAAACACCGAGTATTATGGTGTTGCAAGAAGTTTCTTTGATTTTTATGACATTTTAATTCGCACTTATTTTCAAAAAAATGTTTTGGTACATTTTATTGAGTATATGTGTGAAGATATAATGTAGATGAATAATAATTTTATGGTTAGCTTACGAGGACTCGAACACAACTATTTGTTAAATAATATCGTTGGCATTATGTTCGATTTCGTTAATTTTTGCATCAAATTTTATTTTCTAATTATTCTGTCAGTTCTAATTTAATTTTGTACATCTTTTGTTAATTATTATCTCACTTGTATTCATATACATTAGATTCATAAAAAGTTCTTAACTTATTTTTTCAAACCTGAATGAAATCAATGAAATTAAATTATGTTATTTCGTCCTAGATATATGAATCATGTCTGATGAAGAGCAAGGTACGAGTTCAACAGAAGCTGCGACTCGCATGTTGACTGCAGAGTATAAAGATGGTATGATTATAATTTATTATCTTTTATCTATATATTTATAATTATCTTTATTTATTTGTAAGCATACATCCATATATAAACATCTATTTAAATTACTTATAAGTTTTTTAGCAGTGTGCAAAACATATTAATTTTATCTATACATTTTCAATTAATCATTGGTATAATAACAAACTTTATGAAAACATTAACATACATAAGTTCCTATAATTATTATTTATTATTATGCTAAAGATAAAATGTAATCTTTTTTGAAATGAAAAAACAACGAATAGGCAATAAAGAGATAAACAATAAAGAAATAAAAAAAACTATTGAATCTACTGAAATTGAAGCTGATGTAGTTTTATCAATTTAAATAATTTATCCTCGATGAAGGAAAACATTATCGGGAAACCTTCATGTCTGAGAAAAGCTTGCAATTTTTGGAAACACTTGTAAACTTCACCAACCCACACTTGTATAGCTTAGAGGACTATGGTCTGATATCCTACAAATTGGTAGGTTTGTGCCCAGCAATGGGATATAAAAAAGGTTAAATATTCCAAAAACAAAAACCCAACTGCATAAAAGCTAACTAAAAAGATGAAAACTAGCTGACTAAGGAATATAGTATTATGCAGTTGAAGACTGCAGTGTGGCTCTGTAACTTTGACAACGTTTCCAAAGTGAGTTTGAAAGTAATTTTTTTATAAGTACACAAATTGGCATCTGAAATCTGCCATTCTAATTTTTTACTATTTCTATATACTGTATGATACTAAGCACTATCAATACGAATCTAACAACTTATGAATCATCAAAATCGGCCCACACGCTTGTTCTCTAGAATACCACATAGAAACAAACATACATAAACACTTATGTACATACATAGACTGATAAATACATTACCCTCCTTTGCGTCGTGCAGTTGGTTCGATATGGCTGAATACACGTAATTAATTAAATCTACTTATACTATTTATTTTATTCAAATTTTATTGCAATGTTTAAAATCTAGCAATTGTATGACACAGACATTTCATTTCAGGTCAACTGGAAATTGTAGAAGTTACACCATATGATAAAGATGACAAGGTAACATATTTCCAACACTTACTTTTTTAAAGGTAGAATGAAAGTGTAAAATCAGGGAACGGAAACATGTTGAATTTTTAAACCGGTTTTGGTAATTGACCCCAAAGACTTTTCTGTTAAAGAGTAGTTAGTTCTGTTAAAAATTAGGGCCATGCCAAAATATTTAAATCCATGAAATTGAAAACAAAATAATATTTATTTATTTCTTATTATAGATACAAAATATTGAAGGACACATAATATCGGATGACTCGGACGGCCACGGGGAAGTGAAGTATATGCAAGTGTTGGACGGGAAGAATGTTGTGGTCGACCTGCTCAACTTGACTTTGGTCAGGTAATGTAATTATTTACTGGCTCACATAGACTGATTTACGCGAATATTTCACATTTTAAATAAAACTAGGGAGAGACTCCCGTGACCATGATTGCTGTAAAGCATTAGAAACGTCGTCGGGGACGAAACATCAAAATAGATCAGCGAAAAAATCCTAAAAGATAGTTTTATTTAAAACTAGTGACTTACAATTATTATTTTATGGGCTTTAATTTGTTTGTGCTGAACTCTAAATTCTTTTTCTAAAATAAATATTATATCTTTTTCTAAAATAAAATATTATAACATCAGCTATCTGCCAATGAAAAAAAAAAAAAAATGGCAACTTAGTGAAATCTGTACATGTTTTTATTTTTTTAACAATAACTGTAACCTATTGTATACAGAATAAGACCACAAAATAATAGATATTATAATTTTGGTCTGTCTGTGCGCATTTCACCCAAAAAGTACTGAACTGATTTTGACTAAATTTTGTGTAGTAATAACTTATTACTCGGGTCAACATTTAGGATACCTTTTATTTCAAGAAAATCTTTCATTCCCATGGGAAAACACGATAACAGGTTCTATCGAGTCGTCGTATAAATCTTTAAAACGTACTTAGGTACCCACCCAAGCCATGGGAGGGTGAAGTCGCTTGACTATACTATTATTATTAAGACAAAAAAAAATGTTTTTTGTATGTGTTTGTAATGGCTAAACTAAAAATCCGCTGAACCGATTTAAATGAAATTTGGTATGTCTGGTATTTTTAGGATTCGTAAATTTTGTATGGTTTGTGAACATAGTTTGAGACCCTCGAAAAGACATAGGATATTTTTTATTTCGGAAATCATCCCTTAAAGGGGTGAAAAGACGGATGAGTTTATATGGGGAATCAATCATTTCTCAAATAAAAATACATGTACATATGTATAGTATGTCTATTCCATACTAACCGTTAAAACGTACCTAGGGACGAACACGAGCGAAGCGAGAGTAACTCACTAGTATAATATACTCTTCATCACACGACCACTTGACCAATTTTTTTTAATTCAATTTTTTCTTCAGATGCGAAGATGGTCAAGAATCATACAGATTGGTGGGGGAAGATGGAGACGACACAACTGTCACATGTGTCTTGTCCAACGATGATGGGGATGGTATGAACTTGTATACAGCCCTTTTTTAACTTCCCTTTGCTAGGAGTGAACCTCCATTCAATACGAGGGGGAAGTAGCCATAGACCACCACGCTGGCCAAGTGAAACTTGGTAGATTTCCTTGAGATGCAGTTTTCCTCATAATGTTTTTCTTCAACGTAAGACAAGTGGTGATCATGTTGGAAATGATTCATACATGAAGATATCAGAGTTGCGAGACTTGGGATTTGAACCCGCTTCACTCGGTTCCCCAATCGAGCGCGTTACCATTAGGCTACCACTGCTTGCCTATGAGCTATTAACAATTTTATTTTTTATCCACTTACTTAATTAGTTTAAAAACCGGTCAAGTGCGAGTCGGACTCGCATGCGAAGGGTTCCGTACCATCGTGCAAGATATAACAGTATGTACTAATCGTTTTTTTAATATGCGTGGCGGCTATTTTGATAATCGGCATCTTGGCTATTTATTATTTGTTGTTATAGCGGCAATAGAAATACACAGTCTGTGAAAATTTCAACTCTACCTATTATGGTTCATGAGATACAGCCCGCTGACAGACAGACGGACGGACAGCAAAGACTTAGTGACAGGGTCGTCGTAGAATACGGACAAAAAATTAAATAACTACTATTTCGAGGGCCTTTATTCAATACATAATACATACAGTCATTGTTTTTAAGAAATATTTCATATATATACAGATTTGGCGAAATTACTATTTCATTATTTGCTTGGTTGTTTTACCATACAAACTTTCATCCCCATTTTCACCCCCTTAAGGGATGATTTCCGGGATAAAAACTAATCCAATGTTCTTCCAGGGTCTTAAACTATCATCTTACCAAATTTCATCTAAATTGGTTCATTAGTTTCGGAGCCTATTTTGAACAAACAAACATAAATAAAATCTTTCCATTTTATAATATTATTATTGGTATAGATGTAAAGATTAAAGAATAATAAATACAATAATTACAGATCAGGACAGTCAAGACAACCAAGAGTCTTATGTGGTGATAGAAGGGGACCAGGGCGAGCCAGTGGTGTTCCTGCAGTCCGCCCTGCAGCAGGCACATCAGAGCAAGACTGAAGTTAAGGAGGTTAGTGGAATAAAGCTCTCTTTTCCTTTCTCTTTTCTTTTCTCTGTTCCTCTCACTGTCCACCTCCCTCTACCTTTTTGCCTACTCTCCCCCATATCTGCTCACTCCTGTACATATATTTTTAAGTATATATTTGAAGTTATACTACTTATGGCACGCTTGGAAAAAAATATGAGCGTAAAATTTTTACGATGCGCGCGCACACCGGCAGCCAAAAAGCAACATGATGAAGTTAGCTGCATGCATTCTTTTTACAAACACAGAGTTGTGAGTTGTGACATACGGGATGAAATCTTTATCTATTATTGTTCTGTTATGCCGAAGAAATATACATAATTACACACAGGTTTTTTTTATTATTTTTTTCACAGAAAAAGCAGGCCATGACACCTGCGGAAATATTGGAAAAAGCGAAAGCGATACAGAAAGCAAAGTAAGTTTTGTGGAAATTGCCTCGATATATTAACTGTTAGGATTTTAAAGAGACTTTTTGACCGACTTTAAAAAGAAAGAGGTTAGACTTAATTCAGGTTTTGATTTGGTTATTACGTTTTATTGAATTTCACCCTTAATTTTGTAATTACTTTCAGATTCTAAATTCGTATTTATTTACTTTTATTTACAAAAATATATAAAAAAATTAAGGACCCTTCTCTGCAGACTCAGACACTTTTCCCAGCAGTGGAACGTTAAAAAGGGCTGAATACGATAAAAACAAAATTATTATTTAGATACCACACACTCCAGGTTACTTCAATTTTATAGAAATATTGTAATTTATAATTTAACTTTATAAAAAAAATAATGAAATAATGTTAGACCCGCTGCGTTTCTTTCACCAGTTCTTCTTCTTTCCGAACTGGTAGTAGACTCGTGACGTTCAGTAAAAAATTGTAATAATTTAATGCTGACTAAAATATTTTGAATTTGAGTTTGAATTCCAGAGCGCTATGCAATCCTCGCAACAGCTTCACATCCGGCTCATCCCAGAGAGGGCGCAAGCGACGCAGCACCCTCCCGCCGCCCCACGAGCTACTCGCCTCTCCCCAGTTCAAGCTGTTCCTCTACTCCTGCAAGCTGTGCCCCTTCAAGTGTAATGCCATCAAGGAGCTCACCGCTCATAAGGTGTGTATGGGACTATAGGAATCTATGGAGTAGATGGTGTGTTAGGTTTGGGATTGTGTAGAATTTCATGGAGGTAGTACAGGTTTCATGGAGGTGTGTTAGGTATAGAATTGTTTATAATTAGATAAGATGATGGAGTGTGAAGTATAAAATTGTGTTAAAATCTTTAGAGCCGACCATGGGTGAGGTATGGAATTTCATAAAAATTGTATAAAAATTAATGATGTAGCCGATGGGTGAGGTAAGGGAATATATTAAATACTACCAAGATTCTCACCGCTCATAAGGTGTGTATGGGACTATAAAAATCCATGGAGTAGACAATGTGTAAAGTGTAAAATTGAGTATGTCTCTGCTGATGTACATATATAATATGCATATGTATGTATGTATTACATGTGTATTATATACATATATGTAGACATAAGTGTGTTGTGTTGTCGTCAGTCGGCGGAGCACAGCGGCGGCGCGGGGCGCTGGCGCGGTGCGGGGCGCGCGGCCGCCATTACGCTGCAGTGCGCGCGCTGCCCCTACCGCGGCTCCACGCACAATCAGGTGCACACACACGCACAATGCACAGACGTACACACAGACAGACCCGATACAAACATATATACAGAGATCTCTCAAAACTACATTGTATATCATACATGTAGAAAGCAACTTCACGCACAACCATATGCATACACACACACACACGTTCACTCGCACACACAAAGCCATCATGGTCACATGCTTATATTTTTTTACCCTCACATACTCGCCATCTCACTGCAGTGTACACTAAATCATTATGATACACAAATTCTTCCAATCGCCGGATATCTGGCCACCTGGACTTGCAGCTCGTCAGATATCTGGTTTCATCACTAGTTTTTATGCGATAATATATATATTTTTTAATTTCAGCTAATGAAACACGTTAAGGAGAAACATGTCGAGACCTTGTCTAGCAGTAAGTTTTTTTCGTGTTTTATATTTTTACATGTTTTGCTAAATATTTAAATAAATGCGAAACTTTATGTGTGTGTGCTGCGTGCGTGAGGATGTGTGCGTGTTACTTGTTACTCTTTTAAGCCAAAATTGTTTGATCTAAATAGATGAAAAGTACATAGATTAATAAAACCTGGAGTAACACATGAGTTAGTACAGGTTCCCTCTAGCTCGTAAACGCCTGAATCGATTTTAATAAACTCCTCACGTACTTACTAACATTTAATTTAATGTTAAAATGTAAAAGTTTATTTGAATAAAGTTTAATATTGTGGTTTGCTGTGAGTCTTACTGCATATAATATGTATCCCGATTACATGAATACTTGATCTTTTTTACCACGAAAACCCTACTGCGTTTATTCATCATTACTTATTTATTATAAAGGCTTACTAACTAAATTTACATAAAACATGAATTTAACATAATAGTATTCCGCTATTTTTATATAAATTTAATTTAAAAGTATGCACAGCTTTTTATAGAAGTATTATATCTATACTATAATTGTAAAGAACTAAAGTTTGTGAGTTTGTGACGTTGTAGGGGGTCATTTCTGGATCTTCTTAACCGATTTAAATGAAATTTGGTAAGAAGATAGTTTAAGATCCTGGGAAGGACATATGATGCTTTTATCCTGGAAATCGTCCCTTAAGGGGGTGAAAATGGGGATGAAAGTTTGTATTGGGAAGCAAGCTAGGGACGAACCCGAGCGAAGCGACGGTGAGTCGTTAGTTTATTATATAATCTATTCCACAGCCAAGGTTTACCTGGACAGCGATGAGGCTGCCACCGCGGACGTGCTCGTCTGCGGCGCATGCGGGTTCGAGGCCACCGAGCGCGAAGCCTTCCGCGCGCACGTGCTCAGCGATCACGCTGCGTGAAGTGACAGCTGCGACGTCATAACGTGACAGCTGGGAGATGTGCGTGACATTACAACTGTCAAATGTCATGTGTGTAATAGCGGCGGGGTGTCGTGACGTATACATGATTACCGGACATTTATTATATGTATAATTTTGTTTAAGCTTTTTTTGTTTAGTTTTATTATTTTTAAGGTTGAAATAAATTGAGTAAAGCATTAGTTGTTCTTTTTTTTATTTCCGTCAATTATTCTGAATGATTATATATTATGGTATGTAGAAATGATAAATAAAATGTAGTAATAATACTTTAATGCAATACAAAAATGGCTGGACGAATTTGGATGAAATGTAGTACAGGGATTTGGAGTAATGAAATTAATAATTAATTGGTAGTATTTAATACGCATAGTAATGAAATTTTACAAAAAGTCAGTGTACCTAAAAGTGATCACAAAATGTACCTAGAGACGCATTCTAAGGAAACGGGCTGTAAGCTGATAGTACGATAAATTCTATATATTCGGCCGTTTTTAATGTCCCACTGCTGGGGGTGGGTCTCCCTTCAATACGAGGAGACACTGGCCACAGTACAACACGCTGGCCAAGTGCGGGCGGACTGAGCATGTTTTTCGGAAACTTGCTAGGTTCTTTTAATGTTTTAGAATTCAAACAGAAATGGGCATAAGTTATATAAAAATAGGCAAAGACTAAACAGTTCAATACTTTCTCCTCTGTTTTACTGCATAATACTATTACTATGTTCCTTCGCCATCTTGTTTTCATCTTTTTTGTTTGCTTTCTACGAAGTCGGCTTTTTATATTTTTGTAAATTTATTTTGTTTAGTAGCTATTAACAAGCTTTACGTTATCAATAAAATTATAATATAGGTACTCGATTAAAAATCAATTGTATAATTATTTTTTATATTTATAAGCCATTTGTCTACTCGTAGAGCGTATTGTTTCATTCTCATTGTTTCCATACTAATTAAAGTGTACCGACTACCGCCATTGTTTTATGGCGTAGGCCAGAGCTTCTCAAACTCATAATCACTCGGACCCAATTTTTCCCAGGCAAATTTTCTTATGTTTCTCTTTCTTGGCGTCTTAAAAGTGTCTTCAAATAGAAGTGCATAATTCTAGATTGAAAATTGCGCTTTTTTCAAATCTCTCTTGTTCATTGCTTTTCGGATGATAAAATATAACGCACGTTGCTTCGTTTTAAAAACTACTTTATGTGGTGTGTGTAAATTCAAATTTGTGTATAAACAATAATTAGAACCCTCAATTTTTCAATTTTATTCTTTGGTTTCACTTAACGTCATAATATCGACGCCACGTTTTAAAGAGATATTTGTTTGGAAATGTGTATCTATCGTTTTATATATCAACTAGCAGAACCTGCAGCATCGCTCCCGCTAAAACTACAAAAAAACTAAAAAGTGGGTTTCATAAAAACTTTCAGCCCCTATTTTACCCTCCTTATTTACCCCTATTTTTAGCGAAGTGAGAGTAACTCTCTCCTTTCTAAATAGACGAGACTTGACCGATTTTGACAAAAAAAATTGGTACTACATGGATATGAATGTATGACCTGAATGATTCATTCGCTACAGTTTGACAGGTGGCGTTGTGATCGAGTCTATTATAATTTTTCAAACAAACCAGATTGGCGGGACAACGGCTGTTTACCGATCCGCTAGTTTTTCAATAAAAACCAAAATTGTAAGGTGATATCCTACGTTTTAAAAACATGTACGTTGTGAGCCATACTTTGAAAATCTCTGACTTAGGATAATGTACGTTAGAGAGCCGGTGGAAGTGCTTTTTTGCTAACAGTAGGTATTTCGTATATATGTATGTATGTACTTTGCATGGATATTGTAGATAATTCTTAGTCACATCCTTGATGTTTATATGAAAATTTATAACTCTTATAAGAAAATCCTGAGATTTGATTGATTTAAAAACGAGGAATTATTAAATTGGCGTACCCATATATTTATTTCTGTGTATATACTGTGATATATCAAAGCACTATTATAGATGCGAATATTTGTATAAACATATATGCGTATGTCACATGTGTGTATGTTTATTACTGCTTAACCCCGAAACGGTCTAAAGATTTGAAAGAAATTTAATGTTCAATTAATATGATCTGGAGACCCATATTCAAATTATATACATATACTAGCGGCTGACCCTTGCTTCGTTCTAGAAAAATAAAAGCATACTTTCGCACGGGAACGGTACATTTTCCGGGATAAAAAGTAGCTTATGTATTATACTGATGTATGAGCTATATTATTGAAAAGTTTATTAAAATCCATTCAGTAGTTTTTGCGTGAAAGAGTAACAAACACACATCCATACATCCTCATAAACTTACGCATTTATAATATTACGAGTAGTAGGATAAAGTAAAGTCGATGGGTTTGGATCGAATTAAAAAAGGTATCTAGGATGTTGTCGAAGCGCGCTTAAGTACGAAGTTTAGGTATCAATAGTACCTAATTGAATACTGATTTTCATGATTATTTTCCCCTTTAAAAAGGTGGTCTACGATTTTGAAGCCTGTCCGCATGTTGAATTGTATACTTTCTTTTTTATAGTCGGTAAAACGATTATTGTATGTAGACATGTAAAATATGTAAATGTGGTAGTTTTCCCATGCATTCGTCTCGGACGAGTAAAAACGAAAGCGCGGCATCGCGTATCTGATGACTTAATAGTGCTTCTTTCTTAAGTTATATTTTCATAATTTTCTTAAAGGGATTTTTATTTACGTTTTAAATGAAGAGCAGTTTTAGCCGTCGTAATGCTTGCTACGGAAACTGAGTGAAGCGGGTTCAAATTCCGGGTCTCGACTCGCGCATCTCTGAAATTTTCATGTGCAAATCATTTCTAACATGATTACCACTTGTCTTACAGTGAAGAAAAATATCGTGAGGAAACCTGCATGTTTGAGAGAGCCTAATAAGTTTTCGAATGACATGTGAAGTCCGCCAATTCGCATTTGGCCATCGTGGTACGCTATGGCCTGATCCCCCTCGTATTGAAGGGAGGCCCGTTGCCTGGCAGTGGGATGTTAAAAAAGGCTGAATAAATACATATTTTTTGTGTTTATGACATGTTACATTTTCGAGTAAAGCGATATTCATGACCGGCCACGCTGGGAAAGTGCGGGTTAGCGGATTTCACATGTCTTTTGGAAACTTGATACATTATGTTCTACATGCGCTTACATAATATTGACTTAGCGTTATATTATTACCACGCTTATAAAAACTACTAATAGCTTCTCTTGTAAGTGTGCAATCAAGTATTGGAAGCCGATTTTGTATTCAGCCCTTTATCATATTCTAAATATCGTATCAAAATTTCAAACTCAGAAATCAGTAGATACCATGGAGCTGATATGCTGATGGGACCAGGTGGATAGTGGAAAATAAAACCTATAAAGGTGGAGTGCTTTTAAAATTGATCAATTTAGTTTACATTTTTAATTGACCGAGCGAGCCAAGCGTCTTTGCTACAAGTCTGGCAAAATTTGCTTTCCTCTGTCAGTTTGTCTAAGGCTCTACAGATCGTACAACAGATCTTACGACTTTATAACTTTTTTGTCTTCGGGGATTTTTAATTAAGGGGTATTTCCTCCAAAAAGAGACAAAAAGGGGGCTATTAGATATCTCCGCCTTGTGAGATCCAATTTCGATGGTTATTTTTTATTTCGAAAGGTAGTACCTAGTAGGTAACCTTAAGTTGGTGTCATAAAAATTTGGTGAAAATCTGATGAGGTTCTTCGGCGTAATGAGCAGAATAGTTCTTCAAAATGCAGTAAATTGCTTATATAACTTTAGGGGTATATTAATAGTTGCAAAAAAGTTTGTGCTTGCGAAGTCTACATTCGCAGAACTACTAGTATAATACTAAAATATAATGAAACGAAACATGAGTAATTAATTCAACACTCGGCTACAATATTTTTTATTAGCGTCAATTGAATTTCTCTTGACAAATAGCTCACGCAAGCGGTAGGTAACAAATAAATAAAACATACTTTGTTTTATATTTTTATAATAAACTAGCAGAACCCGCGGCTTCGCTCGCGCTAAAACTACAAAAAAATCTAAAAAAGTAGTTTCATATAAACTTTCATCCCCTATTTTACCCCCTTATAGGATGAATTTCGAAAAATGCTAAAACACATATTTATTTAATTTTATTGAAGAACATTATAAGTTTCAAGTAATTCTGATAATAAATATTTTTTTGATTGTATTGTAACGTGCTTTACCGTAGGAATTAGATAATCTTCCGCGGTAAAAAGTAGCCTATGTCACTGGCCAGCCCTCCAACTATCTCCACACAAAAATTCACGCCAATCCGTCGCTTCGTTTTGACGTGAAATAAGGACAAACAAACAAACACACTTTCACATTTATAATATTAGTATGGATATAATGTGTGTGTCTGTGTTATATATTTATTAACAATTCTTATTCGTATACAGACTACAGTAAAACAATGGCTACGATGAAACAGCAAAAATATAAACTGCCTTGCAGATATCAACGCCCGCCTCCGTACAATATTTAAACTATTTTGTGTGTTCCAGCGTTAGGGACGCACACGAGCGAAGCAAGGGCAAAGTAAATTACGAGTAAATACATTTGTATAAATAATATATAATATTTCGATGGCACGTTTGGCTCAGTTTGTAGTGACCCTACTTGCTGTATCAGCGGTCGCGGGTTCGAATCCTCCTGGGGCATTCATTTGTGTGATGAGCAGGAATGTTTGTATTCCAGTCATGGGTGTTTATATTTATAATATGTATGTATTTAAAGTTATATATGTGTAGTGTATCAACTATCTAGTATCCATAACACAAGTCTCGTAGCTTACCATGGAGCTAGACGGTGCTGTGTGTTAATGTCTCAACATTTTTATTTATATAAAATTATGTTGGTTTGCTATTTCAGATTCGACGTTTAGGAGGAGGTCTGAAT